TTATTCTTGTCTAACAAGAAATCAGACTAGTTGTGTAAGTGCCAGGTTTACGATAGCATTTCAAGAGTTAGAACTTAACCTCTTGATAAAGTCCAAGAATTACTGATCTTTGAGAGACTCTAGCAGTTGGCCAGAAAGTGTTATTTACTTTGTTAATTTCAAGCCGTAGATTGTCATCGATGTATTTATATACTAACGTTTCGATGAGTTGCCTTAATAAAAGTCCAAGAGTAACGGTAAAGCTCTTAAGTACCATTGCTTGGGCAGCTTCCACAAATAGGTTTCTTATTCACCAGTAAATAGACTTCGCTCAAAATCATTCAAATCTTCTTTTTTTCAGCCAACAAAGGCTTTCATCGCGAATTCCGCAGATAGGGCTACCACCTCCGAATTTTCCATTCAGCTTTCCGCAAGCTGTTTGGCCTGGTAAGCCGAATATGAAATTTGAATATATTTTTGGGTGCCCTTGACCTGCACCTGCTTTTTTCAGTACAATCTGTTTCATGAAGACTCTTTATAGGATTCGTGCTCAACACTCCGCTTCCCTCACTTCCATTACCACTTCTTTCCGCTTATTCATCGATGGCACCACCATCGCCAGCAGAGACTGTTGCGATGAGCGAAGACGATGGAAATTTACGAAGATGCGGAAGAAGCAGCTTCTCACAAGGTGTGTCAAGAGATCAGAGCAGAAAATTGTAGGGAAAAATATTTGTTATAGAGCAACTTGAACTCTTAGAAACTTCATTCGCTAAGGAGCCGTACCCAAGCATAGCACAGCGCATGGAGTTGGTAAAGAAGACGCAGTTACCAGAAGCTAGAATACAGGTATGTTTTATTTACCAGTTCATCTACCTCTCAACCCCATGGGCTAGGCCATTTCCTAAGTATGTAGAAACATAGGATCAGCGTCAAGTTACTTTGATGTGTGGCTGGATATACCGCATATACCGGGCTTCACCTTCTGGATATCATATTTTAAGTATTGGTTGTTACAAAAAATAATGTCCGGTTTGCAAAGTCTTACTTTGGCTATAACTTTGTCCTGCGAGAAGAAAAGAAGAAATCCAAAACTGTACACTTTTTTGAGCCTATTTGTTGGTAGGCCAGAAGGCCCCAAATTATGAAAAA